AGACCCACAACACAAATTAGAAACTGTTCTTTCAGAGCTAACAAAGACTGCTTCTCCCTGGGCAATGCAGGTTGTTGCAACTGAATGTAAGGGGAATACTGCAGGTAAATGTGAATATAGTATTCCCTTTGTACGGAAAGTGCAGTATCAGTACGTATCTTTATTCAGAATACTAATTGAAAGAATACGGTCACATGATAAATACCAGTGGTGCCCTCTTATAAACCTCTATTTACAAACATGTAAAAGAGGAAGAGAAACACAGGGATGTTTTTTAGAAAGCAAATGATAATACTGAGAATAAAGATCCTCTGAACATAACTAGTTAATCTGAAAGCTCTGTTATTGGTGTTACACATACTTCATTTTCTGTTAAGCTTTGTCTAAGCAGCTAAAATCAATAAACCCATCTATATTCTCTTATCCCAGAGTAAGTGGAGATTTTTGTGGGGTTTTTTAGCTTAAAACTGGGACCATAGCATTAGAAGTAATACTGCTGTGAGGAAAACATTCTTATTATAGGAGAAATGTTCACATAGATTTTTGATGTATCTGTGTACTACTGTAAGTTACTTTCCCCTACATAAACAAATGCTTTTCCAGTAAGCCACTCTGCCTTTGCTGAAATAACAGGATTACTTTCAATTGTGTTGACTGGGATCCAGGAATAATACGTACTTGGTTTTTGCTAGTCAGAAACATGATGTATTGAGTCACAGAATTCTGCTTCTCTGAGATTAACAGGAATCTGATTCCTTTTAGAAAAGGCAATCTAAAAATCTTCCAGGTTTTTGAAGTAGTTATTGAAAATGTGTCACTTCTGAAAATGATAAATTCTTAGAAATTGTCTGCAGAAGAGATTTATAAATCTTGTCATACTAATATTCTGAAGACACAGCAAAATATCCTAACACTTCCAGATTTTTTGGTGAACTTCTTTTTGGTAAAGGTTCCTTTACATTTGTGTGCAGCCATTGTGTGTGTTTGCACCGTTTTAACAGTATCTATGTAAAACAGATACTGAAGACAGGAAGCATCTATCCATGTTTGCTATAGGAAGTTTTATTTCATTCATTGGTGTATACATTCTAAGGACCAAACTAACAGGGCATGTTATGAACAACAAACTAAGCCCAGTAAAACAATAATGAAAACCTGATAAAGCTATGTATGTACTGGCAGAAATTTAAAGATTCAGAGCTTCCACTCTTTGAACTGAATTCCTGTAAAATATTAAATGGCATATTTTTCATACATCAGATCATTCTTGTGGCACCAGCATGATATTAGTAGTCCATTGTTTGTTTAAAATAAGCATTTAAAATTTTGAACTCTAAAGTTGGAAGACAGCAAAAAAGAGAGATTTAAAACCTTGCACATAGACAGTTTATTACTTTAAAGTTGACTCAGCTTTTTTCATTTGTGTAAGATTTACAGATTGTTCTGAGCAGTGTAAATCAAAATCTTGGCTAATCATGAATGAATGGAGACTGGTGTCCAAAGCACACAATGTAGGCTTCAAATGTTTGGGGTTTTTTTTGTTGTGATTGTTCTCTTTAATACGTAAAGAAGCACAAAAGGGTAGTGAGAAAAAGGACTCAAGAACTTGGAAAGGATCCATCTTTCTTTTTTGTCAAGACTGCTTCAGACGTTTTTTTCCTCCCATAGCTACTAAACTTTAATTATGTTTGCTTTCTGTAACACTTTGTCCCTTCTTTTAGCATCACCCCCTTCATTCTCTCTTAATGTGTCAGACATTTCTGAGAGTTTGTTAATACAAGTATGTAACTTAGATTCTTTTCCATTGTTCTGGATTATTTACTGTATTTTAATTTCTAAGTCAGCATGAAGAAAGGCAAAAAATAGAAAATTATGTATTGGCAACTCTTTTTGGCCTTTATATGTACTTTTGGTTTCTGTTTGTAAACAGCCTTCTTGTTTTAATCCTTTACTTGAAACTGCATCCTTCCCCCTCCCTCCCCTCAAAGAACAACTGTAACAAACCCCTCTATTTTCCACTTAATAGTGTTGCCTTGTATGTTGCATTTCATGTTTAGGAAATAGATCCTAATTTAGAAGCAAACTCCTGCTCAGTTGAGGTACGATTAACTTCCCCATTGTTCCACAAATTGTTAAAGGAAGGGATCAGTGCCTGTTGCAGCAATGTCTTTGGATTTTCAGCTGCACCATTGTTTGTGCTACAAACTTGCTTATATTCCGAATCAATGTATAACTCGAGTTTCTTGGTTGGTTGTACAACTCACTGCTTCTACTTCTCAGAAGTACCATAAATAAAAATTTAGTTGAAATCATATGCAATGATTGCTACTTACAGATGTGCATTGATTTACTTGGGATTTTTTACAGTGGTTTTATTGAGGTATCCATTTTCTAGTTCTAGTAATGCTAGGTCTATGCTCTGGTGTTGGGTGTAATCCAGCTTTCCTGAAGTCGATAGGATTTTTGGCTTTTGCTTTTTGGTAGGATCAGAGTTTCACATTAATATGTTCACAATACTCAGATTACATACTTAGCAAATAATCTGGTAGTACTAATTTTCAGTAACTGTATATAACAAAATCTACAGAAGATTTACAGCTAAACAACTGAAACTTGTTCATCCTTACAACTGGAACGAGTTAGTCTCTGCTCTAGTCCAAAGTCCTTTTTAATTCTTTCCAAGTTTCCAAAGTCTACCAAATGCCACAAAAGTGAGTTTTCTATTTTAGTTGTCAAACTTTTCTCAGGCTGAGAAGAGATTTGTCTATTCACAATTGTATGTGGATGGTAGATGTATGTCAAAATCGCAAATAGCTCAAATTAGACTTGCAAGTAAAAATAACTTTAAAACTTACCAAGAAAAAAATCTTCCAGCTGTTTTGCTTCTGTGGTAGATGGAAAATCCAGAGGCCAAGTTGCTTTTCTTCCTATATTACCCGATGCTGTGGATTGTTAATCTGCAGTTGGAGTTGAAAACTGCTTTTGTCTTTCTCTGTTAGATCCAAGTTGTATTGAGGAATTGGGTTTCTCCATACAATAACCAAGCTAACTAATCATTTGGGGAAAAAAAAAAAGTAATGCTCCAGTATGTATTATTCCAGAAGAGAGAAAGAAATGTTTTTTTGAAAGTGCAGTGTTTTACTCTCACATGCAGAAGTGCACTAACCAGCTACAGCTGACCCAGATTCCATATACATCACTCTTGGACAGTTTTTTTTTTAAGCAAACACACACTCGACTTAGATGTTCAGCCCACCTATGATGTCATCGTGAACACACTGAGAGCAGAAGAAACTCCTCCTTCGGATTTCCTATCCATACCCTCCAGAAAAGGAGGGGGTAGGGAGGCTGAGAAGTTATGAACAAGGAAAGATTGTTTGCCAGTAGAAGGGAGGGTACCATATGGCAACAGACTGTGCAAGAGTTCAGGAGGCAAATACAAATCAAACATTTTTACTACGCTGCCTAAAGATGCCTTTCAAGTTATTACAGTACTGAGCTTCATTTAGAAGAAAGATTCTTTCAGGCTGATAAAACTCTATTTGTGTTGCTGGGAATAAAAGGGGCAGCCTGGCTGGATACAACAGGAAAAATGAACCATTTATAGTCTAGAAGAATGTTCAACAGAATGTCGCATTCAATTCTTGACGTTCGCTTAATAAGAAACAGTTCCAGTTGTTAAACACATGAAGTCTCTGATACATGTGGAAAATGTTAAAACCGTGTGTGTGATGGTTTTGGGTAGGTATCAGAATATTCGATAACATCTGACTGGTGTTAGAAGTAGCAAAAGCCACAGAGATTATGCCCTGTGAGGAATGTAAAATACTGGTTTTAGTTCTGTCAATAGTCAGCCAGCACTTAAGTGCATTCAGTTTGCTTTCATTGATCTTTCCGGTTTCTTCAGAAAGGATGTGCCAGTTACATTTGAAAGAGAATTACCCTACTATTCTTTCAAAATTATTATAAATTTCATATAAATGCATTAAGTTTAGAGAACAGCTTTCTACAGAAGAGCTCTTGCTTTAGCCAAGAGAAAAAAAAAGTGCTTAATTGAGCAAGTCATTCAGAAAGATAATCCTACAAATACAGTGGTTTATAAAATCATGCATAATATTGCAGGTGCCTGTTCATAGTGAATTTCCTTAATTATAATTAGTAAGAATGATTTACTTTTTTTCTATTGAAGACTGCGCAGGTTTGGGATTTTTAAGGCCTGTTTGCACATTGCTAAGCAAATTAGGTTCAGAATAGTTTACGCAGTCTAGATAGTCATATTTATATTGTTACACTACCTGATGTTTCTGATTATCCTTTTTATTTTTTAATAAATTGATTCGAGCAGAATAGAAAATTGAGAAATTTAGTAGTGTATCAGGTTGTGTGTAATACCTTTTTATTTGCTTTTTTATATGTCACCTTTCAACCACAAGTATTTTAATTTGTTTCTGTGTGTGTGCACACACGCGTGTGTATGTGTTGGTTTTGGAGTGATGCCCAGAGTTTCCCAGCTCACATTTGAGGACTGTACTGGTTAGATGCTATACAAACACAACTGCTGTTCTTGTGAGGTTGTATTAATAGTCTTCCACCTGTAAAGTCAAACTTCTTGTTATGATTCTGGTTATACAAGGCTGAGGGTGAAGCAAAATATAATTTTAGAAATTCCCTGTTGCTGAAATAAGTTTCTTAAAAAATATGGTTTAAGCTTGTATTTTTTTTACTTGGATATCTTGTGGAAGATGCAGGGAATGAAGAGCAATTCCTTTTAATAGCAAAGTTGGTAAGGATATGTTTCATTTAGTTGAGACAAAAATTACTAGTCTATGGGTGAAGCTCAAGAAATTGAGTTGAATTTAGAATTAAAATAAGCCATTTATCTACAGCATTAGTATGTAAGGAGGAGGATTTTCCTTTCTACATGACCAAGGGATTGAAAGACTAGTAATGTTACAATGGTGGTAGGGAAGAAAGCAGGTAGAAGGCTTGAAGAGACTTATCTATAAGGCTGTTGGATCTTTGGAGTTGCGATTAATATGAACTGCAGGTTTCGTACCACATTTCAATCTGAGTGCACTTTTTGCCTAGTTAACTTTCCCTTGTTGCTGCAAGCTGAGTTCAAGTTTCTATTCAGTTTGAAGAGTTATAGATAATTTCTATATAGAAATATAGATTTTTCCTTTTGTTATCTTTTAATTGCTGAATTGGAGGAATGAAGTAGTACATTTCCTAAAATCAATAGTAATTTTGATAATGTATTTTAGCATTGTGTGTTTAATATGCTTCATATTTGTCAAGGGAATAATGGTGATGTGGTAGATTAAGTTCATGAGTAGTTGTGCATGTCCTTCTAATTACTTTTAGTTTTAGAAATAATGACACTCTTAAAGACAAAGTCAACTAGTACATGCCTAGTGTGATGTAGGGGGAAAGGATCCTCTCTGTCTCCCACTGTGATTTGTTGTACAGAGAATAAAAGCTTGCACACAGAAACCTAGCTGTACTTGTACCCCCAGCATCTGTGAATTCAGCTGTGATAAAGCTGACAAAACGTAAGGATTAAGTGATTGAGGAGAGTACAGGTTCAATCCCAGTCATGGGTGGCACAGTGATGTACTTTCCTGTAAGTCCAAGCATTCATACTGTTTTACTCTGACGTCTGAAAGCTCTCGTAAATCCAAAATAGTATTCTGAGGCAGCATGTTGTCAACCTGCATGCATGTTAGGCAATGAAAGCAAAAATTCTTCAAAATGCTGTTTGTTTTTTCTGCTAAATGGGAGACACTAAATAAGGAAACTTTTCATTCTAATCTTATTCAGGTATTTATCTGTCAGACTTGACGTATATTGACTCTGCCTACCCATCAACAGGGAGCATTCTGGAAAGCGAGCAGAGAACAAATTTAATGAACAACATTCTTCGAATTATATCAGATTTACAGCAGTCGTGTGAATATGGTAAGCTAGTGTGTAAATGTTGCAATATTAAAGAGAACAACTTAAAAGCTTTAATATTTTGTCTTCTGTAAAGCAATGCAAGTGAGGCCCAACCCATTTGAATGCCATTAATGCTATCCCTCACCCTCTCAGCCCAAAAGTCTTTAAGTTTATTCTGGTATTGTTGGTTATGACAGGGCGTCAGCATGAGGAGACAGAATGACGTTGCCCTTCTCTTACTTCACACACATTTTGCAGTACATATTTTCTGATGAAAAATGTGGAATATATTGTACTTAACAGTAGTTTTACTGGTACGTTATAAACTTGTATCCCCATGTTTCATAATTTTATGACTATGAATTCTAAAAATAATAGGATTGCTTTTGGAGTGATACTTTTACTGGAGCTAATAAAATATGTTCAGCTTGTCTTTTGGACATGTATGGTTCTGTTCATAGATCAGATAATGGGTTTTTTTTTTTTCTTCAAAGGTGGTCTCCCTCACAGTCCTCTTCAAGTTCTAGTAAAATAATAAGGCTGTGTTTGTGATGGTGAAGCCACAATCCTGTGCTAATTCACATTCCACTGAAAGCTCAATATAGTAAAAATGTAGGCTGTAAAAGAATTTCAGATACAACCCACCAGGTTCCGGGTTTGGGACTTCAGTTTGACCAGGGGTGTTCTCTCAGTTTTCCCTGATACATGCTTTGATAAGCAGAGCAGCTCTAGGGGGATACATACCTGGCTTTATGGATGCGGGGAATGTCAGGTCAAAGCATGAGAATTGCTATGAAGGACAAAAATTTCAGCATCAAGTAGGGACTGTAGTTTGTACCTCCATCTCACATAAAAAGGCAAGAGATCTGATTCTGTTTAAATAGTTTCTGGAAAATAACTTTGCTTACCGACGAATAGTACAGTGGTAATGAATGTCATCTGTTCTCCAGATATTCCTCTGTTGCCTCATGTCCAAAAATATCTAAACTCAGTCCAGTACATAGAAGAACTACAAAAGTTTGTAGAAGATGACAATTACAAGTAAGTACGAAATGCTGTAACTGATTGTAACTCGTTACAAAATAAGTTTTATAACACAAAGCCTGTCACTTCTAAGACTGCACTTGTATTGGGAGATTATGAGTCTTGGATGCACCAGTTGCAAATAGTGAGGTTACAGCAGGGTCCTGTGCTCGAGGCAATTTTTAGCATGCTGGATGGCGTATCTCCTTCCTTTTCTATGCCTGACTCTATCAAGCCCTGCCTTTCAGGTTTGTTTGGTCTGTTGATTTGATCTGCACACCTCTTTGAGTGTTCGCTAACAAAGACTCCATACTTCTGGCTCACACAATAGCACCGTTCAGTCAATAAGATGGATCCCATGATTGGAGGTAGCTTATGTCATTTTTCATCAGAACAAAGTCAGCTGTGTGCCCGGTCCCAAGTTCTTACTGAGTGTGACTTAAGGCTTTTGCTTCCATATATATTTCACTTCCATTTTATATTTTTCTCTTTGATTAGGTTATACAGTGTGAGTAAAATGTGAACATTTGATTTTTGAAAGGCAAGATACTGTCCATCTGTGTCCATGCCCATTCCACCCAGCATACCACCCAAAAGAGAGGTTTCTACTTCCTTATTTAGAAGATTATTACTGTATTGAGTGATTTGCCACCCAGCAAAATTGGGGGATGGAAATCTCTGGCAAGAGACAGGAACAAGCCCTGAGAATAGGAAAAAAAAACCTAAAGCATATCTGTTGCATATGAAGAAAGTTTCTGTTCACTGGCTGATCTGCTTGAGGAGATTCCCCACCCATTCCCATCCTGCCCACGCAGGAAGTTTGTCACCTCAGTGGTTTTGAATTGGTTGTTTGTTTAACTACACTCAAATGGTGGGAGGGGTATGCACAGTAGAGGGACAAATACAGTTTACCATTTAGTAGCCCTAACTTGGATTTACTAAAAGGCAGTAAATGGGGACCCTTCAGTTCCTGACAAAGAACAGTTAATGAGGGCTCAGACACTTGGCTTCCCTTCTGAGATTTGTAAATTGTTCTCTGCATGTTCGTATGCAAGCATCTGTCTTTAGCTTTTTGCTGAGATGTTCTATAGCCTGATTTTGAAAGATTGCTTGCTTATCACTGAGAGTAAAGCTCTGTGGTCAAACATTCGGAGGGGAAAAAAAAGAAAAAAACAACCAAACCCAAGTTTAACTGCACTGTCTGCTTCTTAGTGGCATATTGTTTTCATGAATTCCGCATTCTACCTTCCTCCACCTTCACTATGTGGGCTGACTACTAGTGGGAATTTTATTGCTGAAGGAGCCTACAGTCTCTTCATCCTCTACAACCCATATTTTGATAGCAGGGAAACAAATGGAGGGAATTGTATGTAATGCAGAAACATAGCTGCTATTCAGAAAGTCTGTTTTTACACCTATGGGTTTTATAAGTCTCCAAACTGAATTTTTTATGGGGGAGGACTGTATTTTGAAGAATTATTCTTACTATAAGTGGCTATTTTACTCTTTAAGCCCTGAAGTGTCTGCGAAAAAGCTGGAGTTAGAGAACAGCCACTGTGACTAGAATACATGTTTTTTCTTCCTAAAGGATTTTATTTTATTTAAAAAAAAAAATCAAAATTATAATGAATTATTGCTAAACTCTCTGGGGTTGGGAGGGAGAGGAGCTGTCAAACTTGAAACTTCTTCTTCCCAGAATTAAGTAGATGCTTTTCCAACTCTGCTAATTTCAAAGATTCTGGTTTTGCAAACTGTGTGGACAAGATACACTTGATCTTCCTGGAGTTCTCTGCTCTTAGAGTCTGCCCTCTTCGTAGTACTGTTGGAAATGGCATTAAAAACTGCCTGTTACAGAAAAAGCTTGAATTATGGATGCATTCAAGTTGATAATGTATTTTCCAAAATGCAAAAGAAGGATTTTGGCTTTTAGACCAGTAAAGACAAAAAGCTTAGCCCAGCACACTAGTGCACTTTACGGAAGAATTTAAAATATGAAGTGTAGTAAGTATGAATATTTTAGCCAAGGTGGGGGGAACAGTTGTATATTTTTTATTCTTCCCAGTTTTTACACTGAACTAGCAGTATCATTCCTGAGTTTCATCTGTCTGCTAGCAGTCCCAGAGGCCATGTAGGTCCTGGCTTATGTGGGGCTATGCTTTACCTGGAGGGTGGTGCCAACGCAGAGCAATGGCCTCTTCCCCTTCTTCTTCCACAGTATGACTTTGCCACATCTTGTTAATAGCTCACACTGAGCTTTTGCTCACAGAGGGTGAAGGTGGCAACTGGTCGCTGTTTGGCTGCTTGTGGCTGGCTGTGCCAGCTGCGTCAGCCTCTGATGCAGGAGAGGTTGCAGGGCTGTGCTGTAACCAAGGTTTTGCTATTGACTCTGGTCCTCCTTCAGCATGGTATTTCAAACCTGCCCTGGCCTACATGAACCAAAGCAATAGGCATTATGCCCTAGCAGGGGTTTTTCCATCCAAAAAAAAAAAAAAAGAATGTTTGGAAATAGTGTGTGCTAAATGTAACTATTCACAGTTTGTATTAACTTTACAGTGTTTCTTGCAATTTTAGAAACAGGCAGCTTTCAATTGTAAATTAAAAAAAAGAAACTTTTTCAAAAAACTTACTTTTATATGCTTCTGTTTCCAGATTAAGTAATTTTTAATGCTTCTTTAATGCAGACTTTCATTAAAGATAGAACCAGGGACCAGCACCCCCCACTCTGCTGCTTCCAGAGAAGATTTAGTAGGTAAATGTTTAATAAATGTGACAAGACTCGAGGTTGTCAAATGCATTATTTTTGAGTTGCAAATGTGGAAAATATTTGCCTGAGGCTAATAAAGATGTGTGAAATATAAACACTGAATATTTGTAATAAAAAGTCTAAAGGTGATCTGTAAAGAAATTCTTTCAACAAATTGAGTCAGTTTTTTAGGTTCTTGTATGTATTGTGGCACTAACTTGTTAGTGTCATTTGGGGTGAAGAGCTATTAAATATTCATTCTTTGTTGTGTCTAGACAGAAGGGCCTTCATCTAAACTTTTAATGGTATAATATGCTTCCAAAAATGTACATTATTTTTGATCAATGCCAAAAGTGGTTGAAGGCGGGCGTTTCAAAACATAGAATCAGTAAGACCTGTTTAATGCCAATGTAGCTAATGCAGCAACCTTTAGGACTTACAGAATGCTTGTAACTAGATGGTCTATTTGAAATAAGTGTGTTTATTTTTAATCCTGTGCAAAAAAACCCTAAAATACAGGGGGTTTAATTATCAATATGGGTATATCAATGAGTTTTATTACAGGCTATCTCTTACAAATTGAGTTTAGGAAGTTTTGTGCAACTCTCTCACAATTTCCTGAGAAGTAACCCTGAGAATAATTCTAAAGTTACTTGGGAGTAATGTCTTCTTTTTATTCCCAGGTTCTGAAGTCGGAGCGTCTCCACAAAGTGGACGGAAGAATGCTGCAGCTGAAGGAGCCTTGCTACCACCAACACCCCCTTCGCCTAGGAACCTGATACCGCATGGACATAGGAAATGTCACAGTCTGGGATACAAGTTAGTCTTTTATTTAACCTAAAAATCCTAAGCTTTGTGATGTATCATCTTTCAATACAAAAGCTTTGCTTTTAAAAAGTAGCATGATTTGTACACAATACTTCTTTTAGAGACCAAGTTTGTGGCAAGAGAGCAAGTTCAGAGCTATAATAGTAGTATCCCAACCAAAGAGAGTTAGTCAAAAAAAGAAGACTGTGCAGCCATTATAATGATAAGAATAGCCAATGAGTTAGCCAAAACAGGCTCTTTCTGAATGACAAAACTATCACTTACAGCAAACTCAATGCCAGTGTAATTCTTTCAAATTCAAACTGAAAAAATAACTTTATTGGGATTTTTATAGTAAGACCTCCTTTGTAGATTTTCTTATAACTTTATATAGTAATGGCTTCAGGGTTTTTCTATGTAAGTCTACTTCTAGTTAATATCTTGATCATTATATCATCGGTTCCCTTGTCTTCTCAAAACGCAAGATTGTAGCTATTCGGTAATTCATCTCAACTTATATTGTCTAAGTTTACTTTTAATGAGATAGAATCCAACTCAAAAGTTCAATTATATAAGCATTACAGCAAGACAAAAATACCTTAGGATATTGAAAGTAATTTTTAAAGTAGTACTTCTGATTTTCTCTTTGCTCCAGGAGTGCTGTGCAGTTTTAAGACTAACAATTCCTATAGATAATATAGTTTGTGCACAATTGCTTATGACTTGAGCCATGATTTAGTTTGGTATTTGGAACATGCTGCCTGCAATCCCTCAGGGTGTTAAAGCAACAACTTTTGAAATGTATTAAAAATAATGTTGTAACAATTTTATCCTTGCTCATTTCTAGTTTCATACACAAAATGAATACGGCTGAATTTAAAAGCGCAACATTCCCCAATGCAGGACCAAGGCACCTACTGGATGACAGCGTCATGGAGCCTCATGTCCCATCCCGAGGGCAGGCAGAAAGCTCTACCCTTTCTAGTGGAATTTCAATAGGTAGGAACTGTAAACATGCCTGTGCCGGTACATGGTCTTTATATTAATAAAGATTCTAGCATGATTAGTTGATGATTGTACAAGCAGCAGTACTATTCTAAAATACCACTTCTATTTTAGAACAAATTTGAGATCTGTAGGTGGTGAAGGGCAGCATAAGTTATACAGCATGAACTAACAAATTATTAAAAAAACAGATTTTTTTTTTATTTTTTTTTTTTTTTATCCCCTTTAATGATATGACCTCCGATACTTCTCTTCCTTGATGGGGGTGGAGGGAAGTGCAGGGCACCATTTCCTATTCTTTTTTTCCCCCCTAAATCAACCCAAATTAAAAACAGCTAGGATTTCTATTTAAAATGCCATATTGAATCAACAAAACTGTAAGTTGCTGACAGTCTTCAATAGCATAATTTCTAAATACTCCTGACTTTTGTCAGGAGCAGATAGCAATTTAACTTTCAGATACTTCAGAATGCCAGAATCTACTTCATTTTGGTAAATGATTTGCCTTGAAATATTCAGGGTATTCTTTTGAGAACTTCTGCTTCCTGAGTTTCTTATGTGATGGCAGTTGCTCTTTTTCCTGTTGGAAAAAATTGGAGGGAGGACAGGGCAAGCACCTCTCAGATCCACCTAACTGCAGCCAGGGTTGTGAAATGGAACTTCTGTTGCAGAACTTTTTTCTCAAAATTATTAGCTTGATAAATTCAATAGTATTCAGGTTTTATGCATTTATGGTGGTAAAAGATCTTTTGTAGTGTTACGCATTTCTTTGGATAACAATTTTAAAAAACAGTTTTGCTTTTTAGCCTTCATGGAGAGAAACAAGGTCACAGAGTTTCAAATTATGCTGTTTTCAGGAGCTGTTCATGTATTTTCTTGAGAAGGCCATATTCTGAGCTAACATTAAATATATTTTTCATGTGGAAAAAGTCAAATATCTTGAGACAATAATTTAAAAAAATATTACAGTAATATGTAAATCTGTTGAATTGGCTGAGACCAAAGTAGTTTGGACCTGTTCACATCAGACAGCTTCCGCTATTAAATGTGCATTGCCTGTCTCCGTTTTCTACAGATTCTCTGTGGCAAAGTTTCCCATTTCAAAATTTAGGAATGATACTTCTCATCACCTTCCAGACAGCTTGTGTTCTCAGGGATTGCGCAGTACAGGAGAATTAAACTTTTGTCAGCTTTGTTGAGATGTGGCATTGCCCTTTTCCCAGTGCTGTTCTTTTTACTGATGTTTTCTATCTAAATATCTTGGAAACTTCTCTGCAGCTAACCCTTTTTTCCAGGGTAAACTATGTACCTCCATTAGAGGCTAGCAGGGAAGGTTTGCCAGAGCTGACAAGCAGTTTTTCATGAGGTACAATTAAGAACCAGTCACCATCTAGATGTTTTGGAGAATACAGGCGTTTCCTACTTTGTCTCATCTCTGAATTTTTCAACTCTCTTCTCTTGCTTAGCTCAAGCATGACCTTATCAACTTGATGTAGTCAGCCTTACAAGTTGCAACAAAATTGCCATTTCAGAAGACTCTTATAAATTCACTTGTAAAACAGCAGCCTTACGCATGTTGTGTAAAATAAGCATTTGTGGTAAGAACTTGCCCTCTTCCATTCTCTTTCCTCCTCCAGCCTCCCCATACTCAGATACTTTAGTTTTATCACTGTTCTGACAGTCTAGCATCATTCTTATTTCTGCTGCTTCTTGATTATGAAAATTCCAATGGCACAAAAGATTAGTAGAGGTGCTAGAATTACATATGGAGGAAGAGAGTAAGTTCTGGAGGCTTGCAGTATCTATTACTGAAGAATTCTTGGAAACGTAAGCTGTCTGGCATTCTGTACAGCTGCTAAGTTCCTCCATCATGTTTGAAGTAGTCTGTTTACTCAGTACTTGGAAATAGTACAGTCACTGCAGCAGAGAGGAGGTTTACAGTATTCTACAACACAGCTTCAAAAGATGGTCAAGAAAACTTCTGAATGTGTGTACTAAAAAGAGTGTTATTCCTCACCTTGCCCATAAATGTGGATTTAAACCTGTTGCTCTAGAAACAGGACTACCTTTTCGTAGATATAAGCCTATATGGGACTTAACTTTTTGGATAAATGATCCCTCTTCAGAATACAGACGGTGTTTCTGATATGCCAACACCCTGAATGTGACCTTAAAGACTACTGTAATACTGCTTTAAATCACTCGTGTGTGTTGAGGGCTCAGAGGTGCTCAGACCTTTCCAATCCTTTCATATTGGAGGATCTGATATAATCTGCCTCTACATCAAATATCAAACAAGCAGCAATGTAACAAGAGTGTCTATAGGATGTTTATATGCAGCACTGTACTGTTACGATGCTTTATCTAAATTGTTAGAGCATGTGAGTTCGTACATTTTTTTTTTTTTTAGGAGGCCTTGTGTCTGAGTTGCCTTTGCTGTTAACAGAGTACCATAGTCCATTTACAGTTCAGTAAAGCAATTTATAGGCATGTTATGAACATTCATCACAGTACTGTTTCTTTTACCACCAGTGAACACACAAACTTCTTCAGATACATCAGGACTCTTCCATGTGGATTTCTTCATCTATCCCTGTGATAAAAGCTTTCAATCTGTGATGGAGATCAGTTAGAGCATCACTAGGTTTGAGATTTGTGGCTGGATAAAATTCTGTTCTGCATAAAAGCATACTAAAACGGAACAGTTAATCCAACAGTGCATGTGTGTTTAAAATAAAAACACACTTGCAAGTGATGATGGACAATTCCGATTGTGTTGTACTGGGAAAGACTGGTGAAACATTTTGGGAATGGTGCATAGTATACCAAAATTTTTACATCAATGTAATTAATCTTTCAGATATGAAGGCTACACTAAGTGGGTATTTTTCTTTGCAATGAATGATTCCTAAAGCAACAGCAGTGCAGAAAATGATCCAGGTATGGGATTTCCTGAAAATAGGCCTATCTGTAGCATGACAGCCATGGTCAGAGATCTTTATCAGATTCTTTTCTTAATTTCAGGGTCTGGAGGCTGATTGTGTACATTCAACTCATTCTGCAAAACCCTGGAACTCAAAAAAAAAAAAAAAAAAAGCCCCCATTACATTAATTTATTGTGCTTGGGTCAAAAAAGTTCTTGTTCCTAGAACTGTGAGCTTGTGTTCAGCAGACAGTTTTATATTATTCTACAGTAAGAGCGATGTACATCTGGTTCTGTTGCCATTTTACTTTATAACATAAGTGCTTGTTGTCTGAACAAAAGTGAGAAATCTTTTCCCAGCAGTACCAAGGCTATCCTAATTAGAAGGAAGAAACAACCAGTTGTATATAAAATACCAGATGGGAAATCTTCTCTTGAATTCAGGAATGCAACAAGAGGAAGTTTTAGATGTTCATAATTTAGACAGCTACATTTGAGCTAGTCATTTGGAGCTCTTTATAATCACAGAGAGAATTAAGATCTTCAAGGATATGCTTCATCTCATTCTTAGGTGGATGGCTAAAAAGAGGTCGTATGACTTGGGTCCTTAAACACTACTTTATTTCTGTAGGCTGTGAAGAGACTTTTGACAGATAAGACATGAAAATACGGACAGATAAATACTGCTGAAAATACGTGTGTTTTGTGCAGGCAATCCAGAATATCTGCTTTTAGTAAACTGGAACAGATGCTTTCACTTTGCAATGAAAGTTCTTTGAGAACCCCCACTACTTGCTATCAGTGAGTCTTAAAGCTACAAGATAGTTTTGTTCTGTGATCCCTCCATTTTGATGAGGTCACTGTATATGCTCTTTCAAAAGAGTAAGCTTGCCCTTCTGAGGTCTAAGCGTTGCTCTTGGCTGGGTTGAAGGAGCCACCTGCACACTCTTACAAGCTGTTCTCCTGCTTCTATTTGCTTACTATCACGTCCTCACCTAAAAGTAGGATAAATTAAGATGCTTTTACTAGTTTGTCGTTCCACTCAGAAATAGCATGAAACATCTTTTTATTCATAAGATTTTTTTTTTAAGAATATATGTTTTTTCTTACACTTTTAAAGTATTCTTTTCTTGCTTAATATGTTCTCAGAAGTTTTGGATTTCCACCATTTCTTATGATTTGGCTCAGCTGCATTGCTGAATTTCTTTTCTGAAGCTGAATCTGTTTATAATGGCTAATTGTCCAAATAATTCTGTAGAGGTAAAGGGACAGTGTAAAATAGACCCCTTTTTTCATATATTGTTTCTCTGTGGCTTTTCTCCTCTTGCAGCACCTAATATACGGGATGTAAAGTAATTTTACTTAGGAGGTAGGTGGTCTTAGGAGGTGCTTAGGAGGGTGCAGTCTTGCATATATATCACTTAAGAATAGATGTTGAGGTGTGAACACGGAAATGTTCCTCTGAAATTTAGAATGTAATTTTAGGTGTTTGAAAATTCAGAGAAAAAACATTTATGGATTGTGTTTGTAGCATAGTTGGATACAAATTCTGTTCTAACTTTGGACTGTTTTCTTTCTCAACCTACTTTTTTTCAACTTATTTTTCCTAGTCTACAATGATATGGATGAAAGCTCTGGAAAAACTAAGACTCTTGAACATTTGCCTTAATTTGTGTGTTCCAGTCACTTAAGAATAACTTGTCTTTATTCTGACACAATCAGAGAAATTAATGCTGCAGAGTCAAAGAAAGGTATTTTAAATCAGTGTGAATTAATGTAAGAAAGTGCCTTTATAAGAACAGTACATTTTCAAACCTAAACTGGCATAAAATGCATACAAGAATATCAGCATTTTAATGAATTCCTCTATTAAGTCACCATCTTGAAGTACTTGAATTCTATAAGGGATTATATTTCTCTTTAAATAAATGAAGTATAGGCGTAGGTATACAGTGTATGCATTTACTTTCAGGTTTCTGGCAGCCTATACTGTAGGGAAGAACTCCACACAGCCAATGTTTGTTTGATTCCTTGCCCTGTAGTATACTGTTCAGGTGTTTAGAACTCTGAG